AGACAAAGAGAAGATAGGAGAGATCTGTAAGATAACTGTTATAAGCTTCTCTTTCTGAATTTTTGTTGATATTAAGCAGATTTTAATTATCAGAGTTATTGTGGACACAGGCATCAGTGGATAAGAATGACGCCATTCATAAAACAATGATAAAACCACTGTATATAACCATCATATCTAACATGTGGAGCAAGAATGATACCAATAGTAAAAATTAGGAAGGTGAGGGTCCATACAATATAAGACCGGTATGTTGAATGATGATATTAATATTTAAAAGGGAAAAGGAGTGATACAAACCTGTCAGTATTAGAGTTGTCAGAAGTCTTAAGCTAGCAGTGTTACAAACACATGAACAAACTTTCTTCTAAAATCCTGAAAAAATGAACATTATTGAAACAATTCCATTTATGTAGAAACTAGTAAGAGCAAGGACCACTTTTTTCCAATAAACCAAGAACTGATCTATTGGTTGTGACAGGAACTGCCCAACCAGCTTCTCACCAGGGCCTGGCATTATGGGCTGAGACAGAGTGACTGGCCCAAAGTCAGCCTTTCATGCCTAGGGTGGGACAAGAATGCACAGTGTCCTGGTTTCTAACCTGGTGCCTTAACCGTTAAACCAAAATGGCTCTCAAGAAGGTAGTAGACATTAATAGCAGCTAAAATTGAGCTCACGTCAAGTTTCTCAATGTTTGCCTGGTTATGGTTTTCTGGATATGGAGAGATTATTCCAATGGGAATTTACAAGTAGGAAGTTAGGAAAACGATATACAATGGACAGACCATTGATTGATTATACATGCCATCCAGTCGTTATTGATTCTTAGTAACCAAATAGATCAATATTCTAATCTAATAGCTCAAACTATGGAGTCTTTGGTGCTCTCTGAGCTTGGGTTTTTTATTTTTCCAGTATTTTCATTACTCACATAGATATCATCATCAATGCTAGAAGATAGTGGGGTTTGCTCTTTGTCTTTTATCTAGTGACTTTCCCCGTCAGTGTTAGTAGGAATGTTTTGATGGTTCTTTGATTAGGATGTTCAAAGTTAGCTTGTTTGTCTGTATTAGTATTTCCTCGTTTGGGGTATTATTTACTTCTTTGTTGTTCGTCCAGCATTAATATTGGTGTAAATCTCTGCTTATCTGGGTGTTGATTGCTGTGAGGATGTGTTTTCATCTTTCTGTTTCCTTTTTGGCCTTTTGATTGCCTCTTTTGAATGGTATGTGCGTGTTTATCTCTGTCTGCCTGTTGATGGCTGGTTTGTCAGAGTGCCAAGCTTCCAGAAATTTTCTTCTGTTTTTGGACTTAATTTGGTCTGGGGTGCTAACAGTTTCCCAGTTGAAACTATGATTAAGTCTGAACATGTGTTGTGAAATTAAGGAATTTTCATCATGCAGGATCCAATTCAATTTTCATCATGTCTTCTGACTACTAGTTGCTGTTCATGGATGTGCTCTGCTAATCTTTGTCTGTTTGTTCAATATAGTTGCTGTTACAGTCTTGTTGAAAGAAAAATCTTTATCAGGGTCCAGTCCAAGCCGGGAATAAACAAAATGGAGACTGCTTTAGGAAAGAAGTTTGTAGTTAATTGAATGGCAGAATCACAAGACATGTGGCTCTGGAGCAGCTGACCACCTGTTTCTGGGAGTGGTGGGTTTTTATCCCTTCTTGGGCTTTTGTGTTTGAAGTTGTTCCTGTGGCATGAACTTTGGCTTGAGGTTCAGTGTGCCTTTTTAGTATTCTGATGGTGGTGGGTTAATCCTATTATGTCCTGAAGGTCATATCCTACTTCCCTGGGGCTGTGGCTGATGACTATGTCCTCTGTTGGATTTTTTGGGTGAGAGGTTGTTGGTTCTAGGGATCATTGTCTTTTTAATCTCATCAGATCCAAATTTCCTAGCTACAGTCTTTCTGAAAGGATGATCAAATCTGCATTTCTAAAAGCTGGCCTGCTTTGTTTCTGCTTGGAGGAAGGAGACTTGGAGCTGTCTTTGCCTAAGATTTTTTATTATTCTTTGCGGAAATATAGTATTCTGTCCTTTTTAATACCCCCCCCCCCAAATATTTTCTTCTTTAGGAGAGTGGGTGGGTGCTGATTTCCAACAGTCCTTTCACTTTATGTTGTAGATGACTCTTGTTGTTTTCTTCTGAGACTGCTGGGTCTTTTGAGTTACTTAGGATGTTTTGGAGAGCTTTAGTTGGCTTGTGTGTTACAAACTTAACTGCAGCACATGGGGGGTATTGTGAAAGTTGGTTCTAGTGGTGGCAAGTTCTTTGAATGAGAGGGTTCTTCCACTGTCTTTTAAAGAGGTTTTTTTTTCACAGATCCTCAAGAAGCTATTGCTGGACCCCACTATACTGGACAACTTTTATCCCATAGAAAACCTTCCCCCCTTTTTAAAAATTTTTATTTTTCCTTTTTTCACTATACAACAAAAATAAAACTGAAAAATACATTTTTTCCCTTAACAGAACTGTGTTATACATCTCATATATATTATTTACAATTTATTTACATCAGTAATCATGTCTTTTTCTTTCTTTGTTCTAGCCAATCATAACATTTGTTCCATATTTCATAAAATTCTGTTGCCTCCTTGTCTTTTAATTCTAGCGTAAGTTTATTCATTTCCGCGCATTCAAGAATTTTGTATATAATCATATCGTTTGT